AGAAAGTAATATTTCACACTAGAAAACCAAAATTACTTTGCTTGCCAATCCAATAGTATCAAATAACGTTTTGATAATGTACAATGAGTCTAGTATTTCTGTATGATAAATAATTTTTAACAAAAAATATATCAAATGAATAATGTTGTAGGACAAAGAAGAAGAAAAAGAAGAAGAAGAGAAAAAAGATGAAAAGAAGGCTCTCTTTCTAAATGTTGGCTAAGGACGTAGGTAGAATTCTTTGGCAAAGTCGACCTCTCTACGTGCTTACGTTTCGCGGAGAGCCGATAATCGCATTTTCTCATGAATCGTAACCCACGCCTCTTCATTTCGTAAGCAAAACATCCATCAAATTAATCCCTAGCATAGCTGGCGCGCAGAGCGCATGCAAAGCGATTTGTTTGCGCACGTGATTGCATCCGCGCAAACCAAAGCCTCTCCTCTCTCTCTCTCTCTCTCTCTCTCTCTCTCTCTCTCTCTCTATCTATCTATCTATCTTTCTATCTCTCTCTTACTCTTCAATATACGATCGAACGTCACTCACTACCTTTCTAACGGTTAATCTCTTTCACCAATCCTAATTTTTTGTTCACACTTTAAAAAGTCTTTACAAACTTTACAAATTAGTTGAACTATTTTCATCAAACATTTTACTGATCGAAAAATCGTTCGAGATATTTTTACGTTTATAATATAATTTTTTATGATTATGATACGCATAGATAATGAAAGATATAATTATATGATTGTTTGTTTTTAATACGAAATGAATAGCAAACGTTGCCATAAACATTGTCCTCAGTGTTTTACTGAACGTAACTTTACAATAATTCGATTATAATGAGATGTAAATTGAACAAATCCAGGTTTACTCAAGAACTTTTTTCCATTTTATTCGAAAGACTCGTTTCCCGAAATTCCCTGTTTCTTTCTCTCTTTCTCTCTCTCTCTCTCTCTCTCTCTCTCTCTCTCTCTTTCTCTTTCTCTTTCTCTTTCTGTCTTTCTCTTTCATTCGTTCATATTAAACGAAAGCGTGTAGTGGTAGTAGAAAGCTGGCAGATGAAGGCAGCTTTGTAGAACGATATCGGTAAGTGGAAATCAGTGGTTGGGTGGCGCCTCTTCACCCGACACTCTTCTTCTCCTCTCTTCAGGACTTTGCTTTACGCTCCTGGAATCGCGTCTACGACGAGCTTACGATGTTAGCGATAATGGCCGTTTTACTGGGAACTTGCTAACTTCATTAAAATATTACCATCAACAACACACCGAGTCCCATTGTTTTCGATCGTACTCCGTGTCCTATACTGCACCGACTATGTTCTTCTTCTTTTTCTTCCTCCTCTTCTTCTTGTCTTCTCTTTTGATTTGTCTTTGCCTTGTTACCTTTTCTTTTCAATTACTACGAAACTACGATCATATTCATATTTTTATTCATAATAATATTTTTTATCTCTTTTTACCATTGATCATCGTAAAAATAACACACCGTAAACGCGTGTTAGTTACAGATGCAAAGGATGTAAAACAAAAAAAAGAAGAGAACTGTTCCAAGTTCCACCACCATGATGACTACTGTAAATCCTGACACGATGAACTAAAACACGTTGCAAAGCGACATAAGAATGAAACACCTAACATAGTTACACGTCTTTTAAACATCGAAAATGGCGCTCGTAATTCTTACACCGTCTTTTTCTTCAGTCGGAACAAACTCTCATTTAATGAGTGCTCTCTACTTCGTCGTGTCCGTTATAGAAGACACGAGCCAGCAAGACGACTTTTTTATTCGTCATTCGTTTGGACAGTCGGTCTATATCGAGAAAGGGTAGAAAGATTTTTGTCGGTAATACATTCTCAGACGTAATAACGCGACCGTCGATCTTCTTTCGACGAGCCAACCATCCAGCCAACATGTCCGAGTGACATTTTAAAAGAGTCTCTCCTAAAACCCCACCCCGCACAACTCCCCTACCTCCACCCACCCAACTTACAAAAAGGTTTCTATAAGAAAAAAAGATGAGCTCTTGTTGGTAGGAAGAAGGATGTAAGAAATACGTTTGATATTCCGCTAGCATTACTGCTCGAATTTTTCGAATTAATCAGCTAACTAATTTATCGTCCAAAGAGTTATCCCGAAATAAAATTAAATAAGAATGAAAAGTAATTGGATTAATTTACCAACGTACTTTTTTTCCTTCTTTTCTTCTTTCTTTCTTTCTTTTTTGTTACTAAGCAGATAACTAATAATAATAATAATAATAATAATAATAGTAGAAAAAAATCGTAGAATTATCCAGCACGGACGTCGTCGGCAGTCAGAAGGAATGACAAAGAGCTTTCTCAAACGATCCGACAATGTCCGCCTGACTGACGCAGGACACGAGCCCCGTAAGACTTGTTTTCTTTCGACACCACATACGACAGCGAACGTTTTAGATATGTAACATAACATAGCGGCAAACGGCCATCAACCGACGACAGATGAGAGACTGAAAGAGTTTAAAAGTTAGAAAGAGAAAGATAGAGAAATAAAGAGAGAAAGTGAGATCATGGACCACTCACGTCGTACGAGGAAGCGGCTTCTCTCTCCTCTTGCACTTTTTGCCGCTTTTGTAATTGAGCCTGTCTCGTCCGACTACCGTCCAAATGAATTACGAGGCGCCGTCCGCCTCGTCCTCGTGAATTCCTTCCGTGGAAACACTTTTACCCCTATTCTTTCCTCCCTCTTCTTCTTCTTCTTCTTCTATCACTCTCTCACTCTCTCTTTTGCTCTCTATCTGTGTAACAAACAAAAAGAATTAATCAAAAAACGTATCAATGAGGTTCAGTATAACCGTAAGAAAGAAACCAAACACCAAATATAATTAATTACCATGTAACCATTATAACGATTCGTTTTATTTAAATTCACTCTAATGTAAATTATATTTTTATTCTATTTATACAATTGAGAGTAAAAAAAATTGTATTTATTTTTATTAGAAAGGCAAACTTACAAAAGAAAAATTGATTTACTCTAATTTAAGTTGGCAGTTTGGGCTGTGCCTAATATTCGCGCCAATTCTTTCATTTGAACGCCATCTCGAGAATTCGAGATAAATTAATGTCGATATATTATCAACAGGTTGATAGGTTAACAGGTAAATCGATGTATTACCGACAACTCGGTATATTATCGACGTAATATTAATTTTGAATACTTTCTGCAACAATTTATCGATAAATTTAGAAAATAAATGGAATAATTAATTAACAGAAGTTTAATTACAATCTATCATTCCATAATAGTTACGTTAAAATGTGTGTTTATAAATGACATAGGAAATAATATCGATTAACCCATGATTTTACTTAAAAATTTTATAAAAATAATAATTATATTAAATCTAATAAAAAAAGGAGAGAGAGGAAATGTTTAATGTATAAAATACATTAAAGAAATAATAAAAGGACAAACCATTGTAAGGTTAAAGCTTCCGAATTGTTTTTCTATTTATTTCTTCATTTTTTGAAAACTCCAAGTCGTTAATAATCAATACGAGATCGGATCACTTTACATTTATTTATTATTTATTATACTGCACTATATTAATTGATTTTCTTAAAAGATTTATAAAAGAATGCAAAATTTGTTAACAGCACGACACAATGACCACCACGTTCTAGCGGGAATGAAGTATTTAAGTAGAGTCTTTTGATTGGCTAATTCTAAACCGCCAAATCACGTGACATTCTTACAATATAAAATGGTACGAAATTTGAAATATAGAAATCATTAATTATTCCAATATTGTTAGATATTAAATAACATTACAGAAATATAGTTCATGTTATTAAATATTTGAATTCGAGAAGTTACATTTATCGAGAAATAAAATTTACATTCATGAAATATGTAAAAGTACTTTATATGTATGTAAAAAAAGCAGTTTTCTTAAATATAGGAGGGCTGAAAAGTCTTGAGCCGAAGTCTACCGTTAGACTAGAATATTGTTTTCTATGAATGTTTTTTTTTTATTAATTCTTGTTTATATGACTTTCGGAAAGTTGCGCATGTGTATAAAGTTAATAATATACCTAAAGAATAGAATTTAAGATTATAACGTTTTAATTTTAGCTTTTTTTTCATTCTAATGTAATTATTGTCACTCCTGCGCAGTAATGACTTGGATTTTATTTATATAGAAACTAATTACATTGTAATCTTTTCTAATATTCGTATATCTTCATTTCTGAATGCACATACATGTTTTTATACACTAAAAATTAAATATAATTATTTAAAAGTCTATTATACAATATAACTGCACAATACATCTATATTTATATTATCATACACTATCAATGAATACTGTATTGTTTGATAGTATTGTACCGTCATGGCGTTAAGTACCAACTATCGCTCTCTGGTAGTTACAGTAGTAACTAAAATGAATCTTGTTAGGAAAAAGAGAACTTGTAAGCTTTTATATACTTTTATATACTTTGCTTTTACTAATTTATTATAAAATTGTCGACAGATGGTATATTTAAATCTTACTACAAGATGGCGCTAAGACTTTCGATATTCAATAATCGAAATCGTTGATTATCGATAACTTCAAGTTTTCAAAAAATTCTAAACTCAAATAATTTCGTAAAATATTGTCTTCTAATATACTTTTGAAATATTTTGCAATTTTATTTCAAAATGAATAAGAATAATAGTAAAACAGGAAATAAATATGGAGTTAATCGTCCTCAACGTTTACGCCATAAAAATTTAAATAATGCCGATTCTGGTTCGTAAAATTTAAATTTATATTCGACATTGAATATTCGTATTTTTCTTTTTGTACGTTAACACACAAAACGAAAAAATAATATAAACAAATCAATTTTAAATAGTTCAACAAATTACGCAGACAACGTCAAAGAATATTAATGAAGAAAATGTTAGTATTTATATAATTTGTATGAAATTCTAAATATACGAAATTAACAAACGACTTTGATTTTAGAATCCAGTAGAAAAACCTGCAAGTACGTTGAAAATGGATTATTTAACTGAAAGGAGAATATCGCAAGCTGAATTGGACAGACGTTATACTTGGCTTCAACAAGCAAGATTGAGCATGTCATCTATAAAAGATCGTTGTCGTATCATTCACGAGGTTTATTTTTAAAAATAGTCAAACTTTGTAATTTTTTTTTTTTTTTAACTGTATTATTATCATAAAAATATATTGAATTTTTAGGTTCGTTTTCCTGATACTTTCAATGGTCTGTACAGTACACGTTTTTCTGCTGATGGTGACATTATTGTTGCATGTTTTGGAACAGGCAGTATTCAAGTATATAATATTATTTATTAATATTTGAAATATTCTATTAAATTGGCGAATAATTAATTTCAGAACTTACAATTTAAAAAATACTGACATATAATTTATTTAGATAAAAAAATATTAAAAATTTTTCAATAAGAAATACTGCATATAATCTATTTAATTATAAAATTTAATATAATAATTTAATTTATAATAATAATAATTATTAGACTATTATTATTAATTTAATTTAATTTAATTTAACATAATGATATAATAATTTCGCATAATCTATTTAAATACAGAATATCAAACATTTTCAATTGTAATAATATTAAATTTTATTTTTTAGATTCGTAGTGGCGAAACTGCGCAATTGAAAGCTACATTGAGAAGCGGAATGGCAACTTCGTTTCCAGTTATGTGTTGTAGATTTCATCCGTTAAAAAAGAATACATTTTATGCGTCTAGCGCATGCGGCAATATTTTTCAATGTAACACGGACAATAAAGAATTAATCAGATTTATTTCAGGTTTAATTTAACCAACAATTGTCGAAGTTAACACACTTGTCTACAGTTTTCATTTAAACATTCATAATATTCATGAATTAATTTAGAACCGAAAAATGAAGTTAATACGATAGACGTTAGCACAGAAGGAAGTTATTTGGTTACTGGTGGTAAAGATGCAGCTGTTAGAATTTACGATTCCGAAACTGGCAAGGTAAATTCAATTACATTCCTACCATTTTTCCATTTTATCTTTCACTCTGTGTAAAAACATTTTGATCGAATAATACAAATTATATTTAGCCAGTACTGACGTATCAAAAAACTGACGCTGATATGATACATAAAAAAGTCACGAGATTTCATCGCATGAGAATATTCGCCGCAAGGTTTCACAATATTTATACGAATTTGATTATCACCGGAGGCTGGGATGATACAGTTAGAGTAAATTTCAAATACATTCCTACTACCTACACGCGTATCTTTTTTTATTTAATTATTTTACTTTTGACATTTTTATTTGTAGATTTGGGATATCAGAGACGGTGGTGGATCCATTAGAACGATCAAAGGACCTCACATTTGTGGCGACGCTATTGATTTACGAGTAATATTGTTTTGCATAATAATTTTTTAATTGTATTTGTGTATGCATTTGATAATACAATTTTATTTCAGGAATCACACATTTTGACGGGTTCCTGGGTTGTTCGTGAAAGTCTTCAAGTTTGGGACTTGATGAGTGCTAAATTAATCGAGACTATAAAACCACGAAACAGACCAACCACATTAGAAGGAGAATTTCTTTATACAGTTCAATACTTTGATGGAGATCCTTATGGGGATCATATACTTGCTGGTGGTTCTGGTACCGGTGCTGTTGAAGTAATCAGTATAAAGGAACAAAAGGTTGTCAATTACCTTTCACAGTTCGTATTTATGTCACTTTATTATCTAACCTTTTCGAGTAGGTAATGGGTAGTTTCATCGTAAATAAACCGGCTATTGCGTTGGACAGTAATGGAACTACAATAGTCTACGGTGGTATGGAGTCTGTAATTAGGCTTGGTAATTATAGTTGAGAAAATAATTTTAACTGATTTCAATATTACATCTCATTTTTATTCATTTATGATTATTTTACTGTTTATTTAATAATGTATCAATGTATTAATTCTTAAATTTTACATATATAAATTTAAAACAGTACGACAGTTTGATTAATATAATTTAGGTCGTATAACATTTGATTAATACATTTTTAATTTCGTTTATTACTCATTCTCTTTATGTGCTTAAAATTTCTCTAATTTTTTTCTCACGTATCCTGTTATATCTTCCTTTTTATTCTATGTATATAGTATATAATTTTGAAAATAAGATTGATAAATATTAATGAATATAGTTTTATATATTAACTTGTTGTACTACGTGTAAAGAGCGGTTTGATGTGCTCTGCAGAGTTGCGGTACGATGCACCTCGTTACACAGATAGGCCATGTATAAAGCGACGGTCATTGATGATCTTTTATATATATATATA